TTGTTGGTGTATAGAAATGCCACTGATTTCTGTGCATTGATTTTATACCCTGCCACTTGACTGAATTCCTGTATGAGTTCTAGCAGTTTTTGGGTGGAGTCTTTTAGGTTTTCCACATAAAGTATCATATCATCTGCAAAGAGTGAGAATTTGACTTCTTCTTTGCTGATTCGGATGCCTTTTATTTCTTTTTGTTGTCTAATTGCTGTGGCTAGGACTTCTAATACTATGTTGAATAGCAGTGGTGATAGTGGACATCCCTGCCGTGTTCCTGACCTTAGGGGGAAAGATCTCAGTTTTTCCCCATTGAGAATGATATTCACTGTGGGTTTTTCATAGATGGCTTTTATGATATTGAGGTATGTACCTTCTATCCCTATACTCTGAAGAGTTTTGATCAAGAAAGGATGCTGTACTTTGTCAAATGCTTTTCCTGCATCTATTGAGAGAATCATATGGTTCTTGTTCTTTCTTTTATTAATGTATTGTATCACATTGATTGATTTGTGGATATTGAACCAATCTTGCAGCCCAGGGATAAATCCCACTTGGTCGTGGTGAATAATCCTTTTAATGTACTGTTGGATCCTACTGGCTAGTATTTTGGTGAGAATTTTTGCATCCATGTTCATCAAGGATATTGGTCTGCAATTCTCCTTTTTGATAGGGTCTTTGTCTGGTTTGGGGATCAAGGTAATGGTGGCCTCATAAAACGAGTTTGGAATTTTCTTCCATTTCTATTTTTTGGAACAGTTTCAGAAGAATAGGTATTAATTCTTCTTTAAATGTTTGGTAGATTTCCCCTGGGAAGCTATCTGGCCCTGGGCTTTTTTTGGCAGACTTTTGATTACTGTTTCAATTTCCTTAGTGGTTATAGGTCTGTTCAGGTTTTCTATTTTTTCCTGGTTCAGTTTTGGTAGTTGATACAGCTCTAGGAATGCATCCATTTCTTCCAGGTTATCTAATTTACTGGCATATAGTTGCTCATAATATGTTCTTATAATTGTTTGTATTTCTTTGGTGTTGGTTGTAATCTCTTCTCTTTCATTTATGTTTTTATTTGAGTCATTCCTTTTTTCTTTTTGATAAGTCTGGCCAGGGGTTTATCAATCTTGTTAATTCTTTCAAAGAACCAGCTCCTAGTTTCGTCGATCTGTTCTACTGTTCTTTTGGTTTCTATTTCATTGATTTCTCCTCTGATCTTTATTATTTCTCTTCTCCTGCTGGGTTTAGGCTTTATTTGCTGTTCTTTCTCCAGCTCCTTTAGGTGTAGGGTTAGGTTGTATATTTGAGACCTTTCTTGTTTCTTGAGAAAGGCTTGTATTGCTATATACTTTCCTCTCAGGACTGTCTTTGCTGCATCCCAAAGATTTTGAACAGTTGTGTTTTCATTTTCATTTGTTTCCATGAATTTTTTTAATTCTTCTTTAATTTCCTGGTTGACCCATTCATTCTTTAGTAGGATGCTCTTTAGCCTCCATGTAATTAAGTTCTTTCCAACTTTCCTCTTGTGATTGAGTTCTAGTTTCAAAGCATTGTGGTCTGAAAATATGCAGGGAATAATCCCAATCTTTTGGTATTGGTTGAGACCTGATTTTTGACCTAGGATGTGATCTATTCTGGAGAATGTTCCATGGGCACTAGAGAAGAATGTGTATTCGTTGCTTTGGGATGGAATGTTCTGAATATATCTGTGAAGTCCATTTGGTCCAGTGTGTCATTTAAAGTCTTTATTTCCTTGTTGATCTTTTGCTTAGATGATCTGTCCATTTCAGTGACAGGGGTATTAAAGTCCCCCACTATTATTGTATTGTTGTCGATGGGTTTCTTTGTTTTTGTTATTAATTGGCTTATATAATTGGCTGCTCCCATGGTAGGGGCATAGATATTTACAATTGTTAGATCTTCTTGTTGGATAGCCCTTTAAGTAGGATATAGTGTCCTTCCTCATCTCTTATTACAGTCTTTGCTTTAAAATCTAATTTGTCTGATATAAGGATTGCCACCCCAGCTTTCTTTTGGTGTCCATAAGCATGGTAAATGGTTTTCCACCCCCTCACTTTCACTCTGGAGGTGTCTTTGGGTCTAAAATGAGTCTCTTGCAGGCAGCATATCGATAGGTCTTGTTTTTTTTTTTTTATCCAATCTGATAACCTGTGTCTTTTGATTGGGGCATTTAGCCCATTTACATTCAGGGTAACTATTAAGAGATAGGAATTTAGTGCCATTGTATTGCCTGTAAGGTGACTATTACTGTATATTGTCTGTGTTCCTTTCTGGTCTATGTTACTTTTAGGCTCTCTCTTTGCTTAGAGGACCCCTTTCAATATTTCTTGTAGGGCTGGTTTCCTGTTTGCAAATTCCTTTAGTTTTTGTTTGTCCTGGAAGATTTTTATCTCTCCTTCTATTTTCAATAACAGCCTAGCTGGATATAGCATTCTTGGCTGCATATTTTTCTCATTTAGTGCTCTGGATATATCATGCCTGTCCTTTCTGGCCTGCCAGGTCTCTGTGGATAGGTCTGTTGACAATCTAATGTTTCTACCATTGTAGGTTACATATCTCTTCTCCCAAGCTGCTTTCAAGATTTTCTCTTTGTCACTGAGACTCGTAAGTTTTACTATTAGATGTCTGGGTGTTGACCTATTTTTATTGATTTTGAGGGGGGTTCTCTGTCCCTCCTGGATTTGGATGTTTGTTTCCTTCCCCAAATTAGGGAAGTTCTCTGCTATAATTTGCTCCAATATACCTTCTGCCCCTCTTTCTTCTTCTTCTGGGATCCCAATTATTTTAATATTGTTTCGTCTTATGGTATCACTTATCTCTCGAATTCTGCCCTCGTGATCCAGTAGTTGTTTATCTTTCTTTTTCTCAGCTTCTTTATTTTCCATCATTTGGTCTTCTCTATCACTACTTCTCTCTTCTGCCTCCTTTATCTTAGCAGTTAGAGCCTCCATTTTTTATTGCACCTCATTAATAGCCTTTAATTTCGACTTGGTTAGATTTTAGTTCTTTTATTTCTCCAGAAAAGGTTTCTCTAATATCTTCCATGCTTTCTTCAAGCCCAGCTAGTATCTTTAAAATCGTCATTCTGATCTCTAGTTCCAACATCTTACTAATGTCTGTACCAGTTAGGTCCCTGGCAGTCAGTACTGCCTCTTGTTCTTTTTTTTGAGGTGATTTTTTTCTGTCTTGTCATTTTGTCCAGAGGACAATAGATGAATGAGAGAACACAATGCAACAGGGTAACAACGACCCCAGAAAAATATACACTAAACAAATCAGAAGAGACCTGAAACTGGGGGAAAAGAAAGGGAAAGAAAGAAAAATGAGGGGAAAAAAAGGAAAAAGAAAAAAAAAAAAAAAAAAAACCAGAATATGATCAAATATGATTAGGCTGGTGCATAGATGAGTGCCACACTCTAGATTTTGGGCATATTTTGGTCTGCTAGAAGAAAGTGCCTCACAAAATTTTAAAGAAAGAAAAACTTATATATGTACAAAAATAAGGGTAAATACAATGAAGGGATGGAATATGATTGTAAAGATGAAAATTATAAAAGATTTTATAAAAGGAATTGGTAAGACAAGAAGTTGGTTGAAAAAAGAAAGAAGAGGATTTAAAAAAAAAAAAAGGAAAGAATGTGATCAGGCAGGAGACTAGAACAAAGCCATACATTAGAAATTTAGGGTATATTTTGGTCTGCTAAAAGAAACTGTATCCCAAAATTTTAAAGAGAGAACAACTTTTATACACACACACACACACACCAAAAATAAGGTTAACTACTATGAAGGGATAGAATATGACTCTAAAAATGAAAAATAAAAAAGATTTTTAAAAAAGGGATTGATAAGATGTTGGTTGAAAAAGGGAAAAAGAAAAATTCAAAAAAAAGAAAAGAAAAAGAAAGTTAAAAAAGAAAAAATTAACTTTGAAAGACTAAAGAATCATGGGATAAAAGCCATGAATTCTATGTGCAGTGTATTCCCCTAGCAGTTCTGCCGTTCTCATTGATCATTAAACTTGGTCTTGGCTGGCTGTTCTTGCTGATCTTCTGGGGGAGGGGCCTGTTGCCGTGGTTCCCAAATGTCTTTGCTGGAGGCGGAATTGCCCCGCCCTTGCCGGGTCTGGGCTAAGTAATCTGCTGGGGTTGGCTCTCAGGAACTTTTGTTCCCTGCAGTCTTTTCGTACAGCTTTGCAGGACGAGAGTGAAAATGGTGGCCTCCCAATCTCCGCCCCGGAGGAGCTGAGAGCTCAGGGCCCCACTCCTCAGTGCGCCCCCAGAGAAAAGCAGTCAATCACTCCCGTCTCCCCAGTCTCCGGCTGCACTCCTTTCTCACCTGGCCTGTGACCTAGCATTTCTATCTCTGGCACCCGACCCCATGTGGAGTCTCCAAGCCCAGCAGATCCCTGTGGTGCGCTCCTGCACCATTCCTCCCAGGGGAGGAAAGGGAGTCTCCCCGGATCTGCCGCTTGTTGGGTCCCTGCTGGAGGAGCAGTGGCCGGACCGGGCTGCGGATCACAGTTTATGGCAACCCCGAGCGGAGAGCCCGCTCCTCGGCTCTGTCTCTGCAGCCAGCTTCCCCACTCCGAAATCTGGGAGCTCTGCTGCACTCAGGCACCCCCGGTCTTTCTGTGACCCCGAGGGCCCTGAGACCACAGTGTCCTAGCAAGGGTTCCAGCCCCGCTTAGCCACTGGAGCAACATCCGTCAGCGGAGCCAACTTCTAAAATTTCCGATTTTGTGCTCCGTGGCTCTATCACTTGCCAGTAGCAGCTGACGGAGGGCCCCTCCCCCGCTGTCTATCCTCCTGAATATCGCCTCGGATTCACTTCTCCACACGTCCTACCTTCCAGAAAGTGGTCGCTTTTCTGTTCAGAGAGTTGCTGCTATTCTTTTCTTCGATCTCCTGTTGAGTTCATAGGTGTTCAGAATGGTTTGATCCCCATTCAGCTGAATTCCTGGGACCAGACGAAATTTAGGTCTCCTACTCCTCCACCATCTTGCTCCTATATGTAGAATTCTAATCCAGTTTTTTTAAATGGACAAAAGTTGAACATATGATTAAAACAGAAGGTAAGTGAATGACCAATAGCACATAAAAGAAGCTCAAACTTATTTGTGATTAGGGGACTGTAAATTTAAACTACAATGAAATACTTCTTCACACCCACTAGAATGGCTAAAATTTAAAAGATTCACAAAACCAAGTGTTGGTGAAGATGTGGAGTTAACTGCAATTTCCATAATTGCTGGTAGTAAGGTAAAATAGTTTAACCACTTTGGAAACAGTTTAATGGCTTATTATAAAATCAAATACACCCTTACCATATGACCCATTAATTACACTTCTAGGTATTTGTCCAAGAGAAATAAAAACATATGTCCACAAAAAGACTTACTCAGAAATGTGCATTACTAGTCTATTTATAACAGCTCCAAATTGGAAAAGCCCAAATGCCCAACAAAGATGAATGGATTAAAAACAACAACAACTGTGGCATAGTCACACAGTGATACTACTCAATAATAAAAAGGAACAGATTACTGATACATACAATTACACTGGTGAATCTCAAAAACATTGTGCTAAGGGCGGGAAAGCTTGGAAAAGATTACATACTGTATGATTCCATTTATATGAAATTCTAGAAAAGGCAAAACTAATTTAGAGTGGACAAAAACAAAGTGGTAGCCAGGGGTCAGGAACTGACTATAAGGAAGCATGAGAGAACTTTTTGGGGTAATATAAATGTTCTATATCTTGATTATAGTTGTTATTATGTGTATGTATTTGTCAAAACTCATCAAACTGTATACGTAAAATGGATGCCTTTTTTTGTATGTAAGTTATACATGCAAAATTGATTTTTTTAAAAAATTTGTGTCACTTGAATATATATTACATGATACATATCTAAGTATATCATACTACATGAAAAGTATGACTGAATTTCTATGAAAGCATGTACTCAATAATCATTGAATTCTGAAAATAACATATCTCATGTGGCATTAAGATGTTTGAGGTAGATAAGTATAGATGTAGTTGAACAATGTGTTTAATATTCACAGTGATTTGTGCTTCCGTTGGTTTTCTCAAATATTCTTTGCAGGTAATTGACTATGCCAAGCTTGTTCAACCGCGTTTTGATAAAGCCCTTGAAATGTTAGTGAGAGATACGATAGCGGAGGCCACTGAAGCAGCAATTAAAGCTGTGAGAGCGCAGCTCTTCATAAAACTACAAGCTAAAAGACAAGGTGAACCATCTCTGTCACATGTGTGTTCTAAGCAGAGGTCAACAATTCAACTTGGCTGCCCGAGGGCTGGGACTTGCTTTGCTCGCCCTGGTATCCCTGGCACCTTGTACAGTGCAGCCTCTTAATAATTGATTGAAGACATGAATATACATAAACCTGACTCAAATAGAGAAAAGATTTCAGTCCTAGACCTCTAAGAAAAGGAATCAGAAAGAGCTTCCAAATTTGGATTTACTTTTGTGGATTTGCTTGCTGGGCAGAGACTGAATAGAATTTATACCTTTATTGACTCCATCTGATTCTTGCGGAGTTTACATTGTTGCTGCTGCGGCTGTTTTACTATGTAAACGTGGGTCGGCCCCAATTGTAATTAGTTTTTTTCTATTTGGAGAATATTAATTTCAAGTTCAAAACAGTCATAAGGCAATGAAACTGGAAGAAACCTTAATGATCAATTAACACAATTCTTTAACTTTACAGATAAGGAAAACTTTTTATATAAATTGGGAAGCTTCTATCATTTTCTGTGCTTGAAACTGTTTAAATAGCAAAGAAATTATCTCTTCCTACATGGGAATGTTGAGCTTTTGCTAGGAAAGAACAGGTTTTTTGCCTAATAAATCTGTCTCTTCTTTCTCAGCAGCCTATAAACAATTAAAAGAGTCTAACACGGTGCCCAAGGGATTACAAAAACAGCAAAAAGACCAGCATTAAAATTACATGCCATCCTTGGAGTGCCTGGGTGGCTCAGTTGGTTAAGTGTCTGCCTTTGACTAAGTCATGATCCTGAGCTCCTGGGATTGAGCCCTGCCTCCCAGCTCCCTGCTCAGGGGGCAGTTTGCCTCTCCCACTCCCTCTGCTCCTCCCCCCACTCCTACACACTCTTGCTCTCTCTCAAATAAATAAAATCTTTTTAAAAAAAATTAGGAATAGCATGGAGGACCACAGGGGAAAAGAGGGAAAACTAAATGGGAAGAAACCAGAGAGGGAGACAAACCATGAGAGACTCTGGACTCTGGGAAACAAACTGAAGGTTACAGAAGGGAGGGGGTGGAGGGATGGGGTACCCAGGTGATGGGTATTAAGGACGGCACGTGTTGTGATAACCACTGGGTATTATACATAACTAATGAATCATACGTAACTAATGAATCATTGAATACTACATCAAAAATTAATGATGTACTATATGTTGGCTAATTGAACATAATAAAATAAAAAATTACATGCCATCCAAACGATCATCCAGATGATCCAGATGAATTTGTTTTTAGTATATTATCTTCAAAATGAAAGCCAAAAGTTTATTAAATACTCATGGACAATTCACAAACTAAAGCTTGAGAAATATTGGCAAAGACTATTAAGATGGCTTTTTATTCAACTTACTTAAGGCTGGACAAAATGAACTCATTAATTCATTCAACCTTGTACTCTGTGTTAGACATGATTCTAGGTACTGGGCTACAGAGGTGAGCAAGACACATGGAACTCCTGTCTTTGTGGTTGTTACATTTTAATGGAGGATGGGGGTCAGGGAACAAGTGAACAGATAGAAAAAATGTAACACTGTACTGGGTCAGGCAGTGACTGGAGCAGGGGTGCTGGAGTGTTAGGATGAGCAGGGAAAACCTCTCTGAAAAGAGGACATTTAACTGAAACCTGGATCAAGAAGGAACTAGCTAGGCTCCAGGAGAAAGAACAGTGATTAATGATGTTTCTTGGACTCTGTAGTGATTCCTTTCACATCAAATTATGGCATGAAATCATAGATTTTAGATCTTTCCACATATTGCTTTCTCCCACCAGAATATAGAAATAGATGCCATCTCTCATACACCACAAACTTAAAAGTCTCCTTTTCTTTTTCAAATTCCATACTTTAGAATTCGGATTTAGAATAAATCTGACAGTAGGGTTCTTAAAACTTTTCTAGTTGGAATTTTCATGCTGGTTCCACTAATTTGCTAGTTTTGCTAATTTCACTCCCAGTATACTTTTAAGAAAAATTTGTCAGTGGAGATTATTGAGGTTTTTTAACATAGAAAATTCTATAATACAGAGGAAGGCAGCTAACATGCATTAGGCTTCCTGTGTGCCAAGCATTTTCTCAGTGCTTGAGTCTATTAACTCATTTAATCCTTAGAACAATGCTTTTGGCTTGATCATCCCCATTTGCCCAGTAGAAATTGAAACAGAGAGATCAAATGATTTGCCAAAGCCACACTGCCTGAGTCAGAACTCACACTCGTCTGTCTTTAAAGCAGAAGATTTAATCACTGTTCCTGTCTGCTTACCCCCAACTATATTTTGCTAACACAGCCCATTACTGTCTTTTAGCACAGTCAACTTCAAGAATACTTGAAAGAGAATTTGAAAGGAAAGAATATGACAAGTTCCCATCTGATGCATATAAGAGTTTAGAAGAGTCACGATCTTCATTTGATGAAGATGGTAAAAAAATATATTCTGATGTTCTTGGCCAAAGCTTTCCTAATCTAAACAGATTAGCTGATAAAGCATATTATTCTTTCATGCAGTGTTCACTCATGAATCTCAAAAAGATCGTTTTTTAGAAGACAATGAAGACAAAAAGATTTCAGAAAATGTCTTCGATGATCAGTCCTCTAAAACTGGTAAAGATGGTAACAAAATGGCTCAGTGCACCTCGTGGCTCAGTCGGTTAAGTGTCTGCCTTTGGCTCAGGTCATGATCCCAGGGTCTTGGGCTTGAGCCCCGCATCAGGCTCCCTGCTCAGCAGGAAACCTGCTTCTCCCTCTCCCACTCCCCCTGCTTGTGTTCCCTCTCTCGCTGTCTCTCTCTCTCTCTGTCAGATAAGTAAATAAATTCTTAAAAAACAAAACAAAAAAACCCAAAATGAATGGCTCATGCCATGCTTATGGATCTTATTTCCATTTATTTCATACTTTATCATGTTTAACATTGAAACTTAAAATTATCCCAAAAATTGGACACTTAGGTTGAAAAATAGTTAGCTTTTCTCTTACAGATTTAAACTGAACAGCTATAGAACAGAGATTTATTAGAATGAAGAAAAAAACTAATAAGATAATAAATTCTTAAAATCTGTCTAATGTACTGGAATCAGAACATCACAAACCTAGAGTTTGAGCTGTGAAATGTTACTATTTAGTGCTATGTACCCTTATAAAATTTTTCCATTCACATATTAACATAATTGAGAGCATACGATGTAAACTATTTTTACCTTTTTTGATTCATAATACATTTAATTATATTACTTCATTAGGAAATATTTTAATCCTCATTTTAAATTACTGCACTATTTCCCTGTTCATAGGTAATAGTTTTAAGTAGTTCTTTATGTTGTAAACTTATTTTTCAGATTTTTTTTTGCTACTACAAATAATGCTTTAATGAATCTTTTCATTGCATGTTGACATAGGTATAATCACTAGTTTAATGAGTATGAAGTTATAGACAGAGTCAAATTGCTTTGCATATAAGTTATTCCAAATTATGTTTCCCTCAGTAATATACAAAATGTGTGTTATTGTTTACTTGGTATATTCTCTATAATTTTAATTTTTATTTGATGATTTCTGAAATTTAATATTTTAATATTTGTTAATAACCATTTATATTTCTTCTTTTCTGAGGTGACCATTTTTGTCTTTTGCTCATTTTTCTAAATTGTCCTATCAGTTATATGTTTCTGTAAAAACTTTCTGTATTAGTCACTTATTTTTCATATTTTTTTCTACATTGGGTCATTTGTCTTTTAAATCACTTTGATGTTTTTGAAGTAGAGGGGCTGCCAGTCTTCTGTCTAATTAGAGGAGTGGTTGAATACTTATATCCTGATGCAGCCTATGAGCCAACATAACTGTGTAGAGTTATTCAGCATGCAGTGAGGGCAAGCATGAAGTATAACACTTGAAAAACCAGCCTGTGCCACCTTCTCTTCCATCCCTGCCAACTTGCCTACCTCTTTTCCTCTTGCTGTTTCACGTGGTCCCATGCTTGTAATTGGAAGTATTCCTCTTGTTTTCTGATTCATTACCTTGATGCTCATGATTTAGCTTGACCCTGGAATCCTTTGGTCCCTACCTCTTCTACCTGGCTTCCTGGGTTTTGACTCCTGCTGGACATGACTTCTTACCTCATTCACTTTCATTTTGATGCACTGGCTCTAAGCCACTGCTCTGATGTTTTATGTTTCCTGACTTAACATTTCCTCCTCAATCTATTTCCCCCTTCTTGGAGCATGTACTGCAGTAACACAAAGATAGTACTTTTTGGACCAAGCATTAATAATCATGTTCTATTGCAAGTAGCATTGTCCACTAAAATTATTAACGGCATTAGGTTATTTTACTTTAGATGCATTAGAAGACTCAATAGAAGAGGTAACTGCAGAGCATCCAGAGGTTCTTTCTATGATAGAGGAGACTGTGAAAATGACAAAGGATATGAACTTTGAACAGCCATATGAAAAACATGCTGAAATCTTAGGGGAAATCATCAAAGAGGTAAGAAGTCCAGATCCAAATGCTTATGTTCTTTGGTAGTTTTCAATGTATCAACAATTATGCAATACAATTTCATAGCTTTGAAATTAATCCTTCTTTAACTTTTATTTTCTTTGAGTTCAGTTCATTAAAATATGGTGCCTATGAAGCCAGTACCAAAGTTAGATATTTCTTCTAATTAGTTGTAAACTGAGACAAATTTCACTCCATAGCTAACTTATTTCATCCAACCACCTTAAACATGCATTCCTAAGGGAAATGGATGAACACACAAGTACTTGTCCAACCTAGGGGAAATTAAAGCCTCAGATGCTGTGTCCTACCACTGGCAAATCAGAAGGCTTATCTTTGGCTTATAAAGAACAAGATATCCACATGGGTCTATTTTGTACAGAGATCTTGAGTAAGCATTCACGGCAAAGACAACAAATCTGTTTTGGGCTTTCAATGAACTTCTTTGGATTTTCTCTGTAATTTGAGAATTATGTAATTTAAAATTATATGAGGAGAAAAAAATATTCCATGAGAGTATAGAACCACTCTATAACACATTGGGCGGGCTCCTTGAGCCCCAGGCTGTACCCAAGGTAAGTTGCTGTCCCCCTCTGAGCTTCCCATAGAGATCTTTCAACTTCTTCTGCATCTCTTCAGGTTGTTCTGTCATCAGTTGGTTCCTTCAGAAGCATTCTGAGAACCTACTCTTTGCCCCCTTAATGTGCTAAATTCTAGGGATATGAAGATGAATTAAACATAGCTTTTTAAGGAGCCATCAGTCAGGTGCAGAAGGCTGATGTATAATCCAATATTTGAGTTATCATGTACTATGTGGTAAGTAGATATATACAAGGTGTAGGACTCACCTACTGTCAGGACTGTCATCTCTGCATGTAAAGTGAGACAAAGTATCCCAGAGGAGAGATAGGCAAGTGAGGGACGTCTTTAGCACTGTAGAAGTCCCATCCTTGCCCTTCACTGAGGATTTCCTCCATTTCTTCAGAGTTTATTCTGGAGGATACAAATCTACAAGGAGTACTAAAACACCTCTGATATAGGAATGTATATGGTGTCATTAGATGATAAACTGCCACTCTGAGATTGTGGAGGAGTCTAAATCACATGAGGTTGTAACATCAAATCTCATATCAGATTGTCTTTCTCAAGAGAACAGAGACCTGTGCAGGAGACTTTGACTTGTCATCAGTTTTGATGGTCTCTGTGAGTAGTAAGACTATTCTTAAAAAGTAGCTAGACTGGTGGGAGGGATGGGGTGGCTGGGTGATAGATACTGGGGAGGGTATGTGCTATGGTGAGTGCTAAGTGTAAGACTGTTGAATCACAGACCTGTACCTCTGAAACAAATAATACATTATATGTTTAAAAAAATAAAAAAGAAGAAGATAGCAGGAAGGGAAAAATGAAGGGGGGGAAATCAGAGGGCGAGACAAAGCATGAGAGACTATGGACTCTGAGAAACAAACTGAGGGTCCTAGAGGGGAGGGGGGTGGGGGGATGGGTTAGCTTGGTGATGGGTATTAAAGAGGGCACGTACTGAATGGAGCACTGGGTGTTATACGCAAACAATGAATCATGGAACACTACATCAAAAATTAATGATGTAATGTATGGTGATTAACATAACATCATAAAAAAAAAGTAGCTAGACTGAACCTAAAACTGCTCTACAAAAAGAAAATAAAGTCCTTAAAAAAAGGTAGTGAGATAAAGTGATATGCTCCTTTATGTCATTTGCTCATTTTTAATAGTGTATCTTTGTTTTCATTTGCAGTTCTTTATGTGTTCTGCATACGAGTCCTTTGTTAGATGTATTGCAACTATCTTTACAAATATCTTCTATTCTGAATAATAGAAGTTAATTTGAATGAAGCCCAATTGATTAACTTTTTCTTTCATTGTTAGTGCTTCTTATGGCCTGTTTCAGAAATCTTGGCTGTCCAAGGTCAGGAAGATATATATTCTCCTAGGTTTTCTTCTGTAAATTTTGCTTAGCCTTTCACATTTAGAGCTAAAATCGATTTTGAATTAATTTTGTGTATACAAAAAATATATCCAAATGGCCAATAAGCATATGAAAATGTACTCAACATCATTAATTATCAGAAAACTACAAATTAAAACCACAACATGAGGAAGGGGATGAGGTACAAACTTACAGTTATGAAATAAGTCAAGGGGATAAAAAATACAGCATAGAGAACGTAGTCAGTAATATTATAGTGACTTTGTATGGTGACAGAACGGATGGTAACTACATTTATCATGGTGAGCATTTTGTAATGTATTTAATTGTAGAAGCACTATGTTGTACACCTGAAACTAATATAATATTGTATATCAATGATACTTTGATAACAAATAATTATAATACATACATACATATATACTCTTACAGTTGTGTTCCAGCACCATTTATTGAAAAGACCAACCTTTCCCCACTATCATTTAGTGGCTATATCTGTGTGGTCTATTTCTGGATACTCCATTCTGTTCCATGGACCTATTTGTCTATCTGCACTCCACTACCACACATATTAACTACTGTAGCTTTTTAATAAATCTTGAAATCTGGAAGGCGGAATACTTCAACAGCTTGTTTCTCCTGTCACTGCATCCTTCCCTGTGTCATAAGTTGTTTCGTTCTGCTTGCTTTTTCAAGAGTATCTTGGCTATTATAGGTCCTTTTTACTTCCACATAAATTTTAGAATCATCAACTTTCACACACATGCAAACACACACACACGCACACACATACACACACCTGCTGGAATTTTGATTGGGTTGTATTGTATCTATAAATAAATTTGATGGAAACTACCATCTTCACAATATTGGGTCTTCTAATCCATGAGCATAGAATAGCCTTACTTTATCTTGGTCTTTAATTTCTCCCAGTGTTGTTTTGTAGTTTTCAGTGGAGAGGTCTTCAATGTCTCTCATTAGATTTATTTTTAGGTATTTGATGTATTTTGATCCTATTTTAGATATTGTTGTGGTCCTATTTTGGTTTCCAATTGTTGTTTCTGTAATTGTTTTTTTATCCTGTTTTCCTATTGTGCCTCCCACTAAATTTCATTTTCTGATCTAAAGCTCATAGCCCATATGCAGAACAGCTATGAATGATGCACTTGGGTCCAATGTATGATCCTGTCCAGGAAAAGTGAATAGGTTTTATTTCATTTGCAAACTGGAGAGTTAGGCATGGCTCCCTGGAGTCATGGGTTAAGGAAGATTCTGAAACACATCTGTATCTCAGCTCCTTTTAGAATCTTTTAGAATTACAGTTTAACAATATTTTGCAGCCTTAAAAGTACAGAAATAATGATAGGTGTCATTTCTACCAAAGAGAAAGAAGAGTCACTGCCTTGCAATGGAGAATGCACACATTTTTTTCCCACACTAAATCATTTGCACTTTTACCTGGTTTCCGCCTTAATGAGCAACAGAGCACACAATAGAAGCAGAGGCTGGGGGACACTGGGAACTTCTTCCTGCTCCTGTTTGCTTGTGTTAACTGAAACTGTTACCTAGACTTATGCCAGAGTTATTTGCCCCATACCTCATGGAGAAATGTCACGGGGACAACATCAAGGACACTGAGGTTTGTGTCTAACCTGCCACTGTACGTTTTCTAGCCCATGACCTATCCAGCCGCGCATTATTACCACGGCCTATTTCTCTAGTCACTGCAGCCTTCCCCGTGTGATACATCATTTTTGCTCTGCTTCCCTCATCTCGTGGTTTTTTTCTCAAAAACATCTCCATTTCTGCCTTTGTATCTGTGTTCTTCACATGGTCATTACGTTTTCCTGTGCACCCCCCATGTCTCTCTGTGTTAAGTACTTTCCCTAATTCTCCCAGTCTCTTCTCTCAATCACTCTTTCCCTAGGTATGTTTTTTCACAGTGATAAGTATTTGGATATACAAGTGATGAACACATGTATGTGTGTATATCTATAATCACATATATATGCATATACATATATATTCACAAGTAGTAAAATTAAAAGTAAACATGAAATAGCATAGAATAAGGGAATGCATAAATAGCATGTTTAAATGCAGGGGAAAAATTTTTATTAAGTTAAAAATCACAAAGGGATAGAAGGATGAATAGTGCATGCAAATGTTACACCATTTTTCTAAATATTGCTTTCTCCCACTCACCCCTCCCCTGAGGATGTCCAAAGAGAATGCCACTTTATTTTCAGCTGGTCAGACATCTAAGAGCCCACTTTCATGGCTCTGGTGCCAGCCAGGCCAGACACAAACCTTGCACAAATGCTTCCCTGGGGCCCCTTCCCTACCACTTGCCCCACAAGGCTCAGAGTCCTGCCACGCCTCCTGCTGGGCCATACACTCTGGCATTCTTTCAGATATGAAATCTTAAGGAAGATTCCCTCTTCTCTCCACAATGATCTCAACTGGGGAATCTCCCTTAATAGATTCCTACACCGAAGCTGTTTTCCTGATATGTCTCAAACCTGTATCCTCAGGCACTCAAGTCCTCACCCCCGAAACTTTCCTCCCCTCAGCATTGAAATGTCCAGGCCTGAGTGCCTTGTGCCCTTGCCCCCTACCTGGTGTTAGTGACCTCTTTCCCTGAGGCAATGGATGGCATGCTTCACTTCTCCCTTCCGTCTGAGTCACTTGAGATAAAGTCGGAAAGACAACTTCCACATTTGGACCTGCACTAACACAGTGGAAAAACTCTTAAAGCAAAAGCTCAATAGAGAGGCTACTTAATAATGATTCTCTCTATGAAAAAAACCATGAAAATCATAATTTTAAGACAAAGGTCAAAAAATATTTATAACAAATATGACCTATTAATTCCTTAATACAAAGATTTCTTACAAATCAGGGAAAATGGAATACCCTAATATAAAAGCAGGCAAAAGATACAGATTGTTTCATCAAAGAAGAAATGCAAATGGTTAATTGAAAATTTTAATGTTCAAATTTCGAGAAAAATATAAAACTTAAAACAGTGAGATATAAATTCTTACATATCAAATTGCCAAAGATTTTAAAAATGTATAGCAATCCATACCAGTGAGGCTATAATGAGATGGTCACATAGGAGAAGTGAAAATTGATACAGATGTTTTGGAAACAATGTGGCAGTGTGTGTGAAAGACCTTTAAAATGTTCATTCCTTTATGAACCTAAAAACACATCTTCTAGGAATCTGACCTAAAAAAATATATAACATTTGGGCATAGATTTGCATATACAGATGTTCATCACAGTGTTATATTAAAATTATAAATTATGTAAATGTTTACCAGTGAGAGAATGATTAAACAAATTAAGATCTATTCATTTGATAAAATGCTATGAAGGCATTAATTTTTTCAAAAAAATTTGAATGAGATGGAGAAATTATAAATTATATCTCAATGTTGCTTTCATTTTCATATCTTTGAAACTGGACAGTAAGATTTTCGTTAACCATTTGTATTTTTTCAGTTTTACTGAGTTGTATTTGACATATAACATTGTATTAGTTTAAGGTGTATAACATAATGATATGATATATGTATATATTGTGAAATGTTTACCACAATAAATTTCGTTAACACCCATAGCACTTCACACATTTAGTTTTGTGTATGTGTGATCGGAATTTCTAAGATCTACTCTCTTAGCAACTTCCACATATACAATATAATATTGTTAACTGTAGTCAAACCATGCTGAATATTGTACCTTTTGACCACCTTCACCCGTTCTCCCCACCCCCATCCCTGCCTCTGGCAACCACCAATCTGTTCTCTGTTTCTAGGAGTTCAGTTTTTTTAGGTTCTACATATAAGTGAGATTATACAGTATTTGTCTTTCTCCGACTTATTTCATTTATATTTCTTTTTTACAGTTTTCTCTTTTTTCCCTTAATTCTATTCAGCATTTAAAAGTGCTTAAAAATTTTTTTAGAAGACTCTTCAATCTGAAACTAATGATACACTGTATGTTAACTAATTGAATTTAAATAAAATAGTTAAAAGTTAAAAAGAATTTTTAAAAAAGAACTCTTCATTCAGATGGAAATTCATAAAGTAGGTAATCTTAAATTCTGCAGAGGCCGGTGAATTATACCCTTTCTTGTGACATCTCTTCCCCTTTGACTTCAAATATCCTGTGATTACCTGATGACACACAAACTTGAACCGCTCAGAGTTGGTGTATTCACACATCCACATTACTAATTTCCATACTTGCACTGAAGCTGTAGCTACTGCTCTGCCCGAGGGGGGGTTGGGGGCAGAGTTTAGCAGAACTCCCTAAGCACCTGCAAGGTTTGTCTTGACCCGATTCCTTCCTACTGCTTTTAGTAACCGTATCAGTACCTTCTCGGCTCTCACACTGAGGAATGAAAACTGAAAGGGAAGTGAAGAGTGTTGTCACGAAAACAGGCAAGCTGGACTTGGCCCTTGCTACTCAAAGAGTGGTCCATGGACCACTGTCACCTAGGAGCATGTTCGCAATGCACACTCCTGGGCCCAAGACCTCCTAAATTGGGATCTAAATTCTGTAATACAGAATAACAGATAGCAAAAATGTACTGTTTTATTTATTTAATAAAGGCTTTTGCTTCCCATTCTTAATTTTAAACACTTAGATAGCTTTTTTGCTTTAAAATTAAGTGTCTCTTTTTTTTTTCTTTCACGTCAGAAGAATTCAAAAGATAATTGGCTAGGGTCTGCAAAAACGATATATCAAAGTAGTATCCTTGACTTCTCAGGCTGTGATGGTAATATCAGTTGTCCTTTTTCACAGGTAGTTGAAGAAAACACAAATAGGTTTTCTGGTGCCCCAAAATATGGAGGATGGATACTGGACAACTGCCCTGTTGTGAAAGAACTGTGGATAGTCTTAGTCGAGAAAGGAATTATACCTGATTTAGTAATCTGTTTATCAGATACAGAAAACAATGGTTAGTAAATATTTATCATGTAAATCTGAAAGTGAAATTTTTATTGCTGATAATATGTTTAGTTAAAATACAAAATGGAAAACTCTTCCCTCTCCTTCGTTACAAATATCACCCCAGCAATCCCTTTACAACTTAGAGGTACACAGAATGAGGCATCCACTCTTCAAGTAGATGGGCAGGAATGGTGTGCTGGATCATTGGATGTTCCATCAGGCCCTTACAATTATTCTTTGGAGCTGAGAATTTAACACCCCATTCTCAATCAGCACTCTAACTTCTAAATGAAAAATATATAAGGCTGAGAGTAAAGACTGTATATTAGTCATTAACACCTCAAATGGGGAATATTAAATACATAAAGATAGCAGAACTAAATTTTAATTATTCTGTCACTTTGAAAAAAGCTATAATAATCAAAACAGTGTGGTACTGGCATAAAAACCGACACCTAGGCCAATGGAACAGATTAGAGAGCCCAGAAATATACCCATACATATATGGTCAAATAATCTTTGACATAGGAGCCAAGAATATTCTGTCATCTTGCCTTGTAAGGAAGTATATTTGAAAAGAGAGTTTCCAGGGGGAAAATATGATACACCACCTCTTTTCATGTTTTAGTTATTTCTACCCAGCCGATATATTCCTCTTAGAAAGGATTTCAGACAGTCTCGATATTTTAAAGAACCTGGACTCTATTTAGATAAATGCTTAAAGGGAAATATATTTGGATATAGGCAGGAACAACTTTTTGTCGTTAATTTCCAAACTGTTTCTCACTATATTCTATAGAGCTTCAAAATTAATGTTATTCTCTTTATCTGTATTTCAGGGAAATATTTACTTAATAGACTGTATTTAGAGAATAAGACTGAAGTTGACTCTAAGATTTTAGAAAGATTATTAGATGAACTGCAAAAGAAGAGAAAGGAGGAAGAAGCAGCAAGGTAAAATATGTTTGGCATAATAAAACAAGTTAATGAATCTTTTATAGCTATTACATATCTATTTATAAGTTACATTTATGAAATGTCTTTAATATCAAAACAGTGGTCTACTAAGTAGATCCAATTCTAACTAAATTCTAAGAAAAACAGTAGGCTTACAAATATTTTTGGAGTGTCTAAAGTACTGAGTTGTGGATGTTTTCATGGCCCGAAATCAAACTTATTCTGGAACAAGTGTCTACTCTCAAAAGACACTGAAAAAAATGAGCACAGGTAAGATTATTTTTTTTACCATATTTATCTGTGACTTAATTTTACTGACCAGTACCCACAAATTGAAAAAATAATACGATAAAAAGTAAATGAAAGGGGCGCCTGGGTGGCTCAGTCGGTTAAGCTTCCAACTATTGGTTTCAGCTCAGGTCATGATCTCAGGTCATGAGAGTCCCCCTTCCCCCCACCCCACCCCGTGTCATGGAGCCCCGCCTTGGGCTCTGCACTCAGCATGGAGTCTGTTTGAAATTCTCTCACATACTTTCCCTCTGCCCCTCCCCCCGCTCACACGTGCTCTCTCTCTCTCTAAAATAAATAAAATCTTAAAAAAATGGTTTTAATTATTGTTTTCCTGACATATCTCCTATAAGTGTAGTAATGTCTTTTGAAGAAAATAGAAGTAACTAGATTTTCACAGGTTGGGGAAAGGATGCAAAGAACACTGAATATGGAGAATGACAGACCTGTAAAATAGTCAGGAGAACTGCCCCAGAGTGGGCAGCTGATATGAATGAGCTCTACTTAACTCATCCCCTGTTGGTGAATACTTGATACAGTTTTTTGATATTATTTTTAAAAGATGCAATCAACATTGTTATACATGTTACTTTGTGCAGTAGTATGCCGATTCCTTCCTGAAAGCTAAATTCCTAGATATAGAATTTCTATGTCAGAGGTATACACATTTTAATTTTTAATAAATATTGCCTTTCTCCATCACTTTACTAGTTTTCCTTGTATCTTTCTTCATCATTAAGACAGGCTTAGTGTTTCAATCCTAATGAAAATTAGATTCCCTCCAGACATTTAAGTTTCCATATTTTAAGTCTCTTCAAATTTCATTATTACAATGTTGAAAAGAAAAGAAGTCAGGAAATATGTTTTTCTGATTAAAAGATAATTATCTATTTATTCAATATAGAAATTTTTTATACAAAAAATAATAAGTAAAAGTAAAAACTCTTATGATGCCAGCATCCAGAGATAATTCCTATTAACAGTTTTGATTAGCATCCTTCTAGGCTTTTGATCATCACTTATATAAACTTTAAGTACAAAATTAAAATTGTATTATACATAGTCTTATATTACACTTTTTTGTCACTTAACATATTTTGTGAATATTTCTGACTTATTCAGAAGGAAAAATAGTATTTTTCCCATTTACCTTTTCAGCTTAGAGTTGGACAATCTTTTATTAATTTTGACAGATTTCCTAATTAATAGCCAAAATTTTTTAAAGTGTAATATTGCAACTTTTCTTAACCAAAAAAAAGGAAAAAAAGAACAAACCCTGAAATTAAGTGGCTTCAATATGAGCAAATTAAACATTTACATTGTAATGTTTAAGAGTATAATGAACATAATACACAATTTACCCAATTTTTTACCACTATAGGCCTCAAATCCTAGAATATTGTAAGATGTCTGAATTTCCAAAGATGATTAAATTTTGGACCTTTTCATTTCAGAAAAGCTGCTGAAGAAGCATTGAGAATAGAAGACCAAAGGCTATTGGAAGCTATGAGCAAGAAAGCAAAAGGCAAACACAGATTTATATCACTAATAATGTGTCATTTAATTTTGTTTTGTTACTGCAGGCAACTGCAGTATTTCAAGTGAATTACAGACAGCATGACCGTATTTCCCAGTTTGCCCATGAGAGTCTCGGTTTATGCTATGCCTATGGCACTGAAATATTTATTTGACCCACTTTCATTCTCAGTGTTCCAATTTGTATAATAAATTGTGTGGTCACTAGAGTAATGGAGTAATAGGAAAAGACCTCCAACACAGATACCTACGCATGCTCCCTCTGTGGGTCCACAGCAGGCAGCTCATGCAGCATGTCTTAAAATGCTGCCCTTGTCATGTAGGACACATGGATGTTGGAATTACTTCTAGTAGAAGGATCCTGCAGAAGTTGAGAAAACAGCCAATCTCCTGCAATACCCATTGTCTTTGAACTTAAATTTTCATCTCCATTATACAAGAACTTACTCCAACAGTTTCTTTTAAGACTGAAGTTCTTAACCTGAAGTTCATGGATAAAATTCAGAGGTCTGTGAACTTGAATGGGAAAATAATTACAACTTTATTTTCACTAAACTTTACCTGAAATTTAGTATTTCCTTCACTTAGTAATTAATATAGGCAACAAGCCATAATAGTATCAGCAGTATCTTGACTTTGTTACCAATAGAAACTAAGATATTTTCATGTCACATTATAGTTTTATATATCCTGTTTATGCTAAATCACGATTCCAAAATGATGGTAGTTATTAGACCGGCTGCTAGTTCTTGTTATTTAATGCATTAGTAAAGATGCATGAATTTCCTACAGCACAAAATTTATTTTGATATCTTCATAACTATTTCAATATAATTGGTTTCCTACATATTTTATTTTATGAGTTTGAAAGCATTATTCTAAGGAGGGTGCATAAGTTTTACCAGACTGCCAAAAGGGTCCATGAAACAAAAGACTGAAAAGTATCTATTTCAGTTTTCTTTTTTTGGCAGCAAACCACCCCAAAACTGTAAAACGACTACCATTTTTATTCTGTACACTTTTCTGTCGGTCAGGACTTACACAGGGCTATCCCTGCTCCCTGAGGAGCTCAGTTCAGGCTTTGAGTGGCCACCTCGGAAGTCAATCCTCCAACCCCAGGCCAGCCTTCAGAGACTGCAACCCTGAAGGACATCTTCATTGACTTCATGAGAGAACAAGAGCCAGAACCACCAATTAAGCTACTCCCAAACTCCTGACCCCAGAAACTGCAAGGATGATATGTGATTATCGTTGCTTTAATCACTAAATTTTGGAGTAATTTATTATGAAGCAATAGATAACTAATACAACACATACTTAGTAAAAAATCACAGATAGTATAAGGATCTTAGAACACTTTTCAGTCCATTCATGACTTTTCTGGTACACAGATTATCTAATACTTTCTAGAAAAAGTATTAGAACTTTTTACACTTCTCTGCATCATTATATAAACTCTTTTCCCTAATATGGATAAGAATTCAAAATAAATAATTTACATGTATGCATACTGGAAGTATTTTTTTTTTTACTATGAGAGATACATTGTGACTTTTTGCTGTACAGCATATAACTTCATCCCAAACCCTAGTAGGATTCAACAAATGCTGCTTCTTCCTTGTGTGTATCACCATAAATTCCTCTATATGACACAAAAGAGCCATATACTTAGAAACCACATGCACTGTAGTCCTGATACAGACCCAGACCTATAAGAACACTTTTCTTTTTTTTTAGGTATGTTTTGCTTTTCTTTTTTTTCCAAGATTTTATTATTATTTATTTATTTGAGAGGGAGACAGAGAGCACAAGGGGGGAGGGGCAGAAGGAGAGGAGGAAGCAGGCTCCCCACTGAGCAGGGAGCCTGACATAGGGCTCCATCCCAGGACCCTGGGATCATGACCTGAGGCGCTTAACAGACTGAGCCACTCAGGTGCCCCAAGAACACTTTAAGTTGCTTTGCTCTGGGTGCTTAATCATCCAGATTCAGATAAAAATTCGGATGCCAAAGGTATCTCATACCAGATAGTCTCGGAAGGTACTCACTGGGGGGAGAAATTTCCACAGGAGTCCAGAAAACAGGCTCATTTATTTATTTTTTTTTCATATCATCTGCACAGAAATATCTTTTTTTTCAATTTAATGAATATATTAAAAGGATTTGGGAGATAGGTTTTCTAACACCATTTACCCCATCTTCTTCCTGAAAGACTTCCATGCAACTACATAAAGCTTGGAATTGTGCTTTTAAAATTTACATTTGACATACTGATTCCATTATTTGTAATTAGGTATAAGAAAATCCATCATTATACATTAAATCTAGCCTCATGCTGCCCAGTGGAAATATAACGCAAGCCACCTACGGAACTGTAAATTTTCTAGTAGCTACATAAAAAGTAAAAAGAAACAGGTGAAATTAATTATATTTATTTAATATACTATGTCCAAGATATTATTTTAACAATCAGTGCAAAAATTACTGAATATATCTCACATTCAGTTTTTCAAACTAAGTCTCTGAAATCCATTGTGTATTTTATACTTACAGCACATCTCAATTTGGATTAGCCACATTTCAAGTGTTCCAATAGCCACACGTGGCTAATGGCTCCATATCAGACAGTGTAGTTCTATCCCTATCCTTACTGAATGGACTTTGGGCTGTTTCCAGTTTTTTACTGTTAAAACCCTTAGGCTGCTGCTCCGATAGCATTCTGAGCACATGCACTACACACTGCCACTACATTTGAATAGATCAAATATGTAGACAAAGTATCTGTCTCCATCATCAAACCCCGTGCTCCAGGAGGGCAGGGCCATTCCTTATTCTTTGCTTTGGCCTCAGCACCAATCAGACTATCTGGCACCCAATTAAATATTTGTTGACCTAAACTGAATAATAATTTATTTCTCCTCATTTTTTCTAGAAGTAGAAGAGGCTGAACTGGAGGCTGAAGAGGAGACTGAAGGTGAGGAGCCTGAAGTTCAGGAAGGGTCTGAGGCCCTGGAGGTAGCCGAGGACACCAAGGGATCCTTACCTGAGGAGTCTGAAGCACCTGAGGTCCCTGAAACAGAACCTGAATCAGGTTAGACCCTACTGAGAGCCATGCCTTCATTCTACTCCTGTCTATTGGGTGTGTCTGTGTGTGCACATGCATGGGTTTGTGTCTTTTCTACATTAATAAAATGGAAGCAGGCGAAGAGTGGTGACATGAGCTCCCAGGGAGCAGCCATTTAGTCCAAATCACATGGTTTGTAGTGTGGTAGGAAAGCCAAATCTCTGCCCTGGCACCGGCAGTCAGGAGCAGGTTCAGTCATGTAATCTATGAGTCACATGGTCCAAAAAGCAGGGAAAAGTGCTTTTAAACATACTAAAGTATAAAGCTTTTTCTTTTCTTCCATGGCCTCTCTCTCAGCTTTTCATGGTGCTTTTTGTTTGCTAATTAATCTAAGTAGACAAAAATTTTAAATTTTATTCATTGGCATGAATTTTACTGTTTATCTTTATGTTGTACAAAGCTATTTTTTAAAATGCAAATATAAGAGCATTTAACTCATATCACCAAAATTACACAATTTGTATTTTGCAGCTTGGACATAAATTGCATTTTTTTTTTTTTTTGAGAGAGAGAGGGAGCACAGGAGTGGGGGAGGGAGGGGCAGAGGGTGAAGGAGAGAGAATCTTAAGCAGGCTCCACGCTTAGCTCTTAAGCAGAGCCTGACACAGGGCTCCATCTCGCAACCCTGAGATCATGACCTGAATCAAAACCAAGAGTTGGCCGCTTAAGCAACTGAGCTACCCAGGCTCCCATTATATGCATTTCATCCTTAACAGAATACCAAGCCAGTTTCATGCACAAAACTAACGGAGCTTTTTATTTCACTTCTTAATATGCACATATGTTCTATCAACACTCTCTAGCTTACTAATGATTAAGGAAAGACTGAAAGAAAGGGAACTCTGGGTTGCCCTATCTTTTCCTTTCCTTCTATGTCATCGTTTTCAGCCTGTGTTTAGCTAATACAGGAAAGTAACATGAGTAAGAAAGTTATTGGTTATTCATGTCTCTGAATGTTATCACCTTTTTCAGCATCTGAAGCAAGTTCTAGTTTAAAGGAAAAGTGTGGTCTCTCAGGGCTGCTCCCTTCCCCCCACCAGTTGGTCACACTTACATCTCTCATATGTGGTCCCCTGGAATTCTATGGTAATGACAGTGCATCAGGAATGTTCATGAGAACGTGAGGGCAAGGGATGGCAAACACATACTGTGCATATCTTTGCTCACATGCCCTCTCTTTTGTCCCTTTGGAGCCCCTTTGGATTTTGCTTACAAAACAGTTCAAAGGTAAAATTACTAAAAATTTCAAAATGACAGCCAGAGAGCATTAATCTGAGTGTGAGACCATTCTAAGCATAAGACCTTGTGCAAGTGCAAAGGTCCCACACTCATTAAGCCAGCTCTACTTCAGAGGTCCAGTTTGGTGGACTAGTGCAGGGCATGAAGGAGTCTATGTGCAATGAAAGTCATTCTTAGGACCAGAGAGGATCTTAAGGCAGCAAGATAGGGGACCCCACTGTGGTGGCAATGAGGCACATAAATACTTTTAAGCTTGGTTAGTATTAGATTAGAAACTAATCCTACAAACTAATGGTCTTCGGATACCTGCAGCTAGATGCCAGTCTGGAGCAATTAAGGGCTGGGAACCTGCTGTTAGCTGGTAAAAGGACCAGGACTAAGACGAATTTTTACAACGAGAAATCTCAAGTTCAACAAAGATCATTTTTACTACAAGGTTGACATTAGCTTTATGGGACAATAAGTATAAAATCACCTTGCGCCAGACAGAGGAGTTAGCAGGATGAAACCCACAATTTCCTTTTAGGAGTCCCACACCTCTATTGACTTGAGCTTCTACCAAGAAACTTCATTGTTTTTTATTGTTTGTTTTTGTTTTTTATTTAAAATCAATTAATTAACATATAGTGTATTATTAGTTTCAGAGGTAGAGTTTAGTGATTCATCAATTGCATATCACACCCAGTGCTCATTACATCATGTGTCCTCCTTAATGTCCATCACCCAGTTACCCCATCCCCCCACCCCCTCCCCTCCAGCAACCCTGTTTGTTTCCTATAGTTAAGAGTCTCTTATGGTTTCTCTCCCTCTCTGATTTCGTCTTGTTTTATTTTTCCCTCCCTTCCCCTATGTTCATCTCTTTTGTTTCTTAAATTCCACATATAAGTAAGATCGTATGATATTTGTCTTTCTTTGATTGACTTATTTTCTTAGAATAATACCCTCTAGCTCGATCTACATTGTTATAAATGGTAGTATTTCATTTTTTTTGATGGCTGAGTCATATTCCATTGTATATACACATACCACATCCTCTTTACCCATTCATCTGTGATGGACATCTGGGCTCCTTCCATAGTTTGGCTATTGTGGACATTGCTGCTATAAAGGGGTGGGGGTGCCCCTTCAAATCACTATGTTTGTATCCTTTGCATACATATTTTTAACTTTTTGAGGAACCTCCATACTATTCTCCAGAGTGGCTGCACCAGCTGGTATTCCCACCAACAGTGTAGGAGGGTTCCCCTTTCTCTGCATCCTCGCCAACATCTGTCGTTTCCTGACTTATTTTTAGCCAATCTGACTGGTGTGACCAGAAACTTCATTGTTTTTTTCAATACCTAATCAATTTGACTGATAACAATTCTTCCACCCACCTACATTTTGTAAAAGGGGCCATAAAATACCAAAAAAAAAAAAAGAAAAGAAAATGACATCCATTAAATATGACATGTCAAACATACCCCATAATTCCAATATCCACAATATCTCACAATTAGTATTTACAAATGTAACAGGTCTAGGGGACAATTTAGTTTGTTGCTTTTAATCTGATTATTTCCCCCAGGGAACCTACTTTGGATGTTTTAAAGCCAGCGTCCTACTCTAGTTAGGGTCAATTCTAGCCCAATGCTAGACACTGTAGACATGACTGGGCTTCTCCAGGGCAGGTTTGCTTCTGTAAAATGGGTCTGTTTTGGCCATATTGAACCATATTCTGTTTCACAGAAGGGCTTGCATCTGGTTTATCCAGTGATTACTTCTTCTATTCAAGGGTCTCTTTTTCCACAAAATCTTCTCTTCTAAATCACTTAAGGGGGCAGTTTTTTTTTTTTATTAAAACTGCCCTGTCTAAAAGACAAATACCATATGATTCCACTTATATGAAGTACTTAGAGTAGTCAAAATCATAAAGTTAGAAAGTAGAATAGTGGTTGCCAGGGGCTTGAGGGTTGGGGAGAATGGGGAGTTATTATTTAATGAGTACAGAATTTCTCTTTTACCAGGTGAAAAGAGTTATGGGCTGAAAGGTTGTGACGGTTGCACCACAATGTGGATGTATTAGATACCACTGAACTGTATATCTAAAATGGTTAAGAGGGTAAATTTTACGGTATATGAATTTGCCACAATGAAAAAAAAGAAAGGAAAAAACTATTCTAACATAAATCCATTACTTTTGGAATTTTTAAACTTTATCCAGAGTAATGATGGCTGCCAAACATATGTCCACATCCTAATTTCTAGAACCTGCAGATGTTACCTCATTTGGAAGAAAAGTCTTTGTAGATGTGACTAAATATCTTGAGATGGGGAGATCATCCAGGATTATCCAGGTGGGCCCAAAATGCCATCACAACTGTCTGTATACAAGGGAAGTAGAGGGGCTTAGACTCGCACTCAGAGCAGAAAGCCCTGTGAAGATGGAGGCAGACATTGCCATGATGCAGCCTCAAGCTAAGGAATGACAGCACCCAGAGAAGCTTCAACAGGCAAGAAGTGATTCTCCTCTAGCACGGCAGAGGTGGCACAGCCCTGCCAACACCTTAATTTCTGACTTCTGGCCTTCATAATTGTGAGAGAATACATTTCTATTGGTTCATTTTATTTACCAAGTTTGTGGCAATATTTTGGCAGTCCCAGGAAACTAATACATAGCCAGAACAGGATTTTTATGCCTCATGCTAGAGAACACATCTTTTCCTCTGTCATGGGCCACAAGGTAATCATGACCTCTGTCAATACTCGGGAAGATTGAAGCTTCATCTCAAACCTGTTGTCACTCTAGCCTTCTTAGAATGGAATGACATAGGTATTGCTTAGAATCAGTGCTTTAAAAGTCATTACATTCAGATGCATTCAGAGGCTAGTTAATCACCTTGATCATTCCCAAATTGTTCTTTATGTACTAGTTAGGTATAGGCAAATTACATGGAACTTGCAAGAAGCTGAGCTTAGAGTAACCATTGGCTCTCATCACAATGCTTTATTCCAAGTACTTCACGGTCCTGTAATAAAGCTGGCTATTAAACATCAGGAAATACATCCTTTTAACAAATATTTATTGAATTCCTTCTAAGTGCCAGGCAAAACAATAGGCGCTGCCCTAGGTACAAGAAACTCAGCAATGATCAAGATAGTCAAGGTCCCTATCTTCAAAGAGTTGTCATTCAATGGTGAAGAATAAGAATAAACAAGTAAATAACTAAAATAATTTATGATAGTGGTAAGTGCTATGGATAAAATATATGAAGACACTAAAGCGAGCCTGGGATCTAGTACGTGCTCAATAAATGTTTCTTGAATGAATAAGCAAGGTGGAGACCAGTGGGGTGGTTTGGAAGAGACAAGACTAAACATTATGGCCAAGGAAGAGTGTTGTCTGAGAAGATGATACTTGAGGCAAGGCAGAAAGACTGAAAAGGATCTGTGCAAAGATCTTTCCACTGCAAAGGCTCAGAGGTGGGCACAATTCAATGGGCAAGGAAGAAATGGAGTGTGACCAGAGCACAGTGAGCAAGAGGGAAGGGGAAGATGAGATTGGACAGCGAGGCAAAGGCCAGAGGCTTAGGGAGTTTGAAGCTTTCTCTAAGTGCAGGTAATCGATATGATCTCATTAACATTTCTTAAATTTCACTTTGGCTGCTATATGACACCTTATGTCATTGTTTTGCACCTCAGGTTCTTCATTAAACAGGGTTAGGAATAGTTACCAAACATTGTTTTTA